CCCCCGGTCCCTTTGGAGGTGGGGGGGCGCCACCCCCCGCAGAAAGTAGATTTTTTGAAAAATCGTTTCACGTGTTTCAGCGTTTTTTTTTAATGTTGGAAGTTGTCGAAATATTTGACCGTCCCGGTACATAATTGACACCCTGTATATATATACATGTATATATAAGCTTTCTTTTTACAACATTTAAAGCTGTACTAAATGTAATTCAGACAAACTATACGCTGCAGAAGATTAATTATGATGTTACAAAATAGGATGAAAATTATAGCCACGTATCGAAGACATATTATTTAGAGATATTTTGTTTGAGCAGACTTTAAAAAAAAACTTGTACATCGTGTAAACACAATTTGATACTTCATTTATTACCACAATAAGTCGCCGATGAAATTAGATTAAATGAAACACTCCTCTATGCTTGCTCCATAATTTTATTTTATGATGCGGCCGCTTTTTCTTCTTGCTCTTCTCTTCCTCGAGCAATTTTTTAGCCTCAAGCTCAGCCGGATCGGGCGGAATCAGGCTAGTGATGTGCTTGTTGTAAAGTTTTAAAATGTTTAGGCTTGTTAAAAGGGCCGTTTTTAATACCACTTTTTCACCCGACTCTGAAAAAATGAACAAGACAGATGTGATCTACTTGTTTGTATTTGCGCGAGATTACGGGAGAAAAGATATAAAAGAAAACGTTTAGACGAAATAATTGAGATGAACAAACATGGTTTTAACTCCGTCGATTTGTTAGCGCGGAATAGATCTTCGAGTACGGACGATTTCTTAAGGATTTATTGAATCAGAACGCAATTTAATCACCTTATGCATCTTTCTTTTCGTATTTCTTTTTTAATATTTTTCCGCATCGTACGATACGGACGCTCACATGAATGAATTGAACGATAGCGATATGCACTGAAACGTAAACAGTGACGCGAACAATTCCATACACTTTTGTTATTATACTTACGAAGACTGAACGTGATGGTTGGCTCGGAACGATCGCACACGATCTCTGTTTTCAATGAGCACTGCGGGTTCGTCGCACGAATTTTCGGAGCGCTAACGTAAAACAGAAAATCTCTGCAAATAAAAAGCATTATGCATGTTATTATCTCATGTGTTGATCTAAGAAATCTTAATCTGTACATTCTCTTTAAGGTCGTAGAAATTAAATTTTTCATCGCTTAATCTACGTTTTGTTTTCCGCCTTTTCTCTTCTTTTTCTTGCAGTCTTATCTTACAGCTTCGTAGTAAACGTAATTTGCTGGTTACTACTTCCTCATAATATTTCTCAATGTGTTTATCGTTCCTTTCACAGGCAAAATGGCACAAATGGAGCAGCAATTACCGCTTCCAATGCCAGATTTAAGTACCCTTCGTATAACTACAGCCGTCTCCATGCTCGGCAAAGCATATGGATGTGGCCAATGTAATGGTGAGTTACATTCGTTTTAAATAGGTTTTAATTTAAAGGAGAAACATTGTTATGAAACGGAAGGAAAGTCACTATTATCCGTATATTCATCTGTTAATACGTTTCTGATTGTGCACAAATGACAAGAGGAAAATAACAATAGATAGACCATATTTTTTCAATTTTCGCAAAAGTGTCTAAACCAATTAAAAGCTCCTCAAAAATTAAATTTCATGTTTCGTACATATATCTTTATATTTACGTATAATATACGCGTATATTTATGGATTGTGTGTCGTTAACGATTTGATAAAAACAAGACACACACATACACAAAACATTTAGAGTATACACGTGATTAAAATATACTAAATTGTGAATAGGATTCTATCTGATTCTATCTTCTTCCGAAGTCCGACGGAAATTATAGATCATTTAAAAAGCGAATTTATCTTGTGATCCAATACATGAAACGGGGCGGTAGGATGATTCACGTCGTTGCGCGAACGTGTCGGTATCGAACGCATCGAACGCCACGACTGTGTGCAAACATCAAAGTCGGTATTGCGGAATCATGATGGGGTAGGTAGGACGGAGAGGAGAGGGAGGAAGATTCTTGTTTTCTCCTATTCTTTATTACCTGTTAACGCTGATTATCCGAGCGACAATAGGGCACCTAGGAGAAGCTCGCGAATCTTTGGAACTGCTCTACCTCGACTAGCAACGCACACACGATCGAGACATGCTTCTATAAATAACAACGGGAGGGCTGCGCACATCGTCTGCTAACCTGGCGCCGAGGGGTGCGCGTGCGTGCGTCGATGACGTCGTCGAGTGCCAACCTGACTCGCGGGTTGGTGGTTAATCGTTACTGAAGAGGATTGGAAGAGCGGAAGGTGCGCGTATCATGTCGAGTCTGACGTCTAATAATTACGTTTACATAAAAATATATATGTTTATGTTAAAATAAAATGTAATTTTAATGTAAACGTAATTAATAAGAATGTGTTACATTGGTTGCACTCTGTAAAGCGCATATACGTATATTATTACAGTATACGGAGCATAAACGTCATGCTAAGAACGCGACTTTGCTGAACTATACTTTATGGAAATAATAATTTTGCTGAAAAATGTTCGCTAAATGCTGATATGAAAATATAGTTTTTTTTTACCATCAAAATAATTATGTAGAAAATTTAAGCATGATGAGCAATGCTACAAAAAATTTTGACATTTTAGCAACCAGCTGTCCTAAATAATAAATAGTTCTGAATAAAATTATTTTCAGATTTATTGAAAAACTTCTAGCTATATTGTTAGACTTTGGCAAAACCGTTCTTTTTACATTGATAGATGTGACGTTAGACTCACAAGATAACGTTGATAGTAGTGTACGCGAAAATATATTACGTTTATATAAGGACCTTTCGTTCTATCTAATCCTCTTTAATCGTTATTGGGATATCGAGGGTGATTTCAACCAATCTCGATCATCTCCGATTAACTTATCAAGCGATATCGTGTTATCATGAAGAGAATTATTGATTTTTTGTTTTGACACATAGGATAGTAATACTGGTGGTTAAATTAATCGGAATTCCGCCAAAATCGACCTAATAAATCTATTTCTATTAATGTATAATTCTGGTTTAGTTTTTATCCTTTTTTTCTAAGGATCAGTAAAAGGTGATAAGTAAATTAAATTGAGATTAAAATTAAATTATATTAATAGAAAAAAATGTATGTTGCCTCTCGGAGAAGACACGATTTCGCTTAAAACGGTACATTTATTAATTTTCCTCGCCATTTGAATAAAATATTACTTGGAAAGATACGATCCGTAATAAATCCTCTTATTTTCATCTTCGAAATTTCATGCATCTAATCGTATTTCGATATATTGCGTAAAAGAAAAAATAATGAAATAACAGCAGCGTTAAGTAGAATATTTATTTTAGAATAGTAGAAAGTTTTCTTCGTGCTGATGGGATTATACTTTTAGATTTAGAGGAACAGTCTTACTTCAGCTAAGTAAACTTCTAAAAGTTGCAAAATAAACATTCTGCTGAACGCAGCCAATATACGGAAAACTTTGATTCTATTTGCAAATTTCTCGACTTTTTGCAAAGAAATTATGCAAGCGTTTTCTCGGAAATTTAAAACAAGTAGATGCAATATCTCGCGCGCAGAACCTCGTTTCGATAATTCCCGCGCAATCGCGAGACGCGCGTGAGACGCGCGGCCAACTTCAGGGAACTAACCTCGCCTGCCTGGACTGACGATCGAACGGGTCGAAACGAACG